GGGTGTCCAACTAGGTAGGGGGAGTCCAACTAGGTAGGGGGTGTCCAACTAGGCAGGGGGAGGTAGGCAAGTCTAAATGTTTAATTTCACCTAGGTTGTAAGAGTCCGCTGAAGGAGCGAGCACCCTGAACCAGCAATTCTGTGCATTTGATGTCCATGAATAATTGCTTGTTTGAACTGCCCAGGCATTTTCAACTGGTTGCTTTTGCCGAAGGTCGCAGAACCTACTTGCAAGCGCGGCGTTGGAGAGCATGCCATCGGCACAAACGATGAAACTGAATGAAGCTGATCATTTTGAGACCAGAAGGGTTCAACCGACTTTGGACTTTGGACATCATTTTGCGAACAGGCAACAGGCAACATCCGGGCCCTTGGCCCGTTTTCGCGAAAGAAACCTCTTGAGAAGCAGGACAACTGAGTATGACAGATCTGGACATACTACACGGAGAATCGGTAGCACATGACACCAACTGAGCTCTTCTCGCCCTGTCTTTCAGCCCTGTCTTTCACCGTCCGGTATTTGCACGGAAGTGAGAGAGGGAGGAGGAAGAAGAAGAAGGACGACCTTTAGGGACCACAGATGCTATTCTTTCCTTTCGGTTGGTGCAAGATTTTGGATCAACTTGGGCATCAGCATCCCCCTCACGGATCTATATAGTGACTATAGTATCTATAGTGTGAATAATGGACAACAATTGTCAATCAGGGGTGTTAGACCACCAATCCCAGTCAATCTGAATGAATGTCACTCCTCTTGAGAAGGATAAAGTCATTGATGAAAAGACCTTCAAAAACGTTCAACAACCCACCTTTGAATGAGTGCCGGCTGATTTGCATTGCCCTTCATGTGTGCCTTGCCATGGCGCCATGGCGCTGTGGCGGGCGCCGTTTGAAAACAAGCACTGGTGTCGGTAAAGGGTGTGCTCCATGCAGGTGCCTGAGACACTAGCCGATTCCTCTTCGTTTCCAGTGGTGTTCAGCACCCACAACTTTTGATCTCGCACCAGCCGTGCCACAGCTGGGTGCGTTCAGGGATGTCCAGGGGGTTCTTCTAGAAGCATTTTTGGACAACCCTACCTGCTTATAGGTCACCAGAGGGGACACCCAGACAGGAAGCGCTAGGTAGAATCTACTTTCGCTTTTGGATGTTCAACTGTCCCCATGGCTGGAGATCCCGGATAGTAGTGTAGAGTGTAGGGGGCTTCCAGCCAGGTGACCCCATTTTTTAGGTGCTGGGAGTTGCATGTGTTGTCATTTTTTCCAAGATTTGGGCGGTGAGAAGACTGTGGGATCCTCCACTGCAGGAGATGAAGACGAAGCTGCCCAAGTGGAGACTGGTGGACCGTCACGTCTTTGAGCCATTCGGTGATAGGGCATAGGGCGATCGGATGCGGCATGGATGCGGGGGTCGGATGGGTGGGTGGATATGATGGGATTGATTCGAATATATGGAGAGACTCAATCCCATATATCTAATATCTAAGCCTTGTTATGATGGGATTGATTGTCTAATCCCATATATATAACGGATTCATTGGCTTAATCAACCATGAATCCGTTATGTTATCTAAGCCTTGTCCATATCTTCCCGTGGAGAAGCCAGCCACGAATTGTTGGAGCCCTGGTCTCCAAGTTTCAACCAGTGCGTCTCTCGAGTTGCGGGATAGCCAAGAAAGGAGCGAATCTCTGATCTCGCCTTCGTTTCTCTGCTAAGCTTTACAGGTCGAGACTGGATAGGACTTCCAACAGAGGTTGAAGAACCCTATAGGCTATCCTATGGGTCCCCCAATAGGGTCCTATATAATAAGGTCCCTCAACCTCTGTTGGTTGGTCCCAAGGTGCTTTAAACAGAAGTCGTGCCCCCAGGGGCCCAACACTCAGGTGGAGCGAAGGGGCCTACGACGATGATCCCATCATGGTGGCCCAGCAGAGCGCCTTGTTCGGAGGAAACCGCCAGTGGTCTCGTTGGGGCCGAGCTATACCAATACCCAGACGCTCAATGTATGGAATATATGCCTACATTGGGGTGGTTTGGGGGGTCAATGTAGGCATATATTCCATACATGCAGTGTATGGAATATATACCAATTGATATTCTCATGGTATCTCATGGTAGACCTGGTGGTACTGGTGTGTCTTTTTTTCTCGTGTGTGGCTCGGTCTGTAAACCAGTCCCACCTTTCATGGCAGGGGGGACTGGCAGATCTATACCAGGCCCCTCCAGGCCCCGTTAAGTTATTACTCTATACATCTTAAGCGTGTTTGTTATTGTTGTTTATGATGCCCCAACGCCCCGTAGAGGGTCAGCCTTTGATGCCCCGCATGTCATCCAAGTGCCCTCCACAACCCTTTGGGAAATGGACTTCTTCCTAGGGCTCCAACTAGCTCCTCATAAGGTGGTTGGCTTGGGGTTGGAGAGGGTCTACCTTGTGAGCCTGTGGTTGGAGCTTTTGGCAACTTGAGCATCATCATCTACAACACTTTTGCGCCACTCCTCCAGTTCTGCCCTGCTCCACGCCCTGGTCACCTCGCAGAACCATCGAATCTATCCACACCCTTTAAAGAAGGGGGTCATAGCTCAATCGAGATTCCAGAAATCCTGGAATCCATTCTGGATCCTAATTATACCGCAACGATTTGACAATCTTTTTAATTATATATAGATGGATATCTATATATATATATAGAGAGAGAGGTAGATGTACACACATATATATATATATTCATGTAACATACACACATACACACATATCACATATATTTCTAGAAAAAACAATGGCACGACCTTTCTGCCAGCTGAAACCTTGGAGTGCGCCCTGGTCTTCACGGGCACCAACCACTTTGGCGAGCTTGGCAGCTCTGTGAAGCCCGGGACCCGGACGGACGGGACCGCGCGGGGACCCTAGCAGCCCTAGCAGGTCCAGTCTGACCAGGTGCTGAAGAGTGTTTTTGCATGATCAACTCCTGTCAAACGAGGTCTTTGACCTGTAGGGGGATGTGGAAGGACAGTTGAAAGAGGTCAGATGTTTTTCTGGGAGACTTCCTGGCTGTTGCTCAGGAGGGGGCCAAGAAGCTGGCGGTATCCATGGTCCCCATCATTTAGCAGGGAGCCAAGGAGCTACAGGGAGTTCACCAACCCCTTGCTAGCTTCCAAGATGTCCAACATTGTCGTAGACAGGACGATGCAGGGCCTGAACGTGGTATGGATCCACATGTTTTGGGCTCGCCAACTGTTTGGGACTCGCCAACTGTGTGGGATTGTTTGGACTACAACAAAGGTGACCAACCCGTTGGAGGTGCCTTTAAATAGGGTCCAGGCTGTCAGGCCTGGTGGGGGGTGCTTGGCCCCTCTTGGGGCGAATTCCCTTCAACCTTGGAGGAAGAGTTGGTAAGTTTGTCCCGGCTCCTGGAGAGTGAAATCCAAGCAGATGAGACCAATTCATTATGGCGACCTTTGCCAGGTGCCCCTCCAAGTTCGGTGTTTCTGGTGTTTCCCAGGTGCCTAGTCTGCCTAGTGCCCAGGGGCCCAGAGTGGTCGGGTCACCAAATCATACAAAATCGATCTTGGATGGGGTCCCTGGGCCCTGCAAGAGGACTTCCCTAAAGTCGCCTTGGTAGAGGCAGCACCTCACCGGCTACTGCGGCTTCGACCAGGAGAGCAGGGCACAAGGGGTGTGGGACCTTTGGGAAACCTGCGAGGTGTGGACTGGACTGGCCTGCGAGGGTGCAGGCACCTCAGGCAGCTCCAAGGAGTGGTCTTTGGAAGTCACCTCCAAGACAATCCTTAGGTACCTGGACCCTGGATAGCACCGCCTGGCCAGGGTCATCCTGACGAGTTCCGGCCATTGAGTTTGCCCAAGCTTTTTTTCCCACTTAAACTCCACGTGGAAAGTTCAGTTACCCCTATCTTGATACACCCGTCTGCGGCAAAATGATGGGTGGCACCATTGCAATGCTTGGAAATCCACCCAACATGGAAAACAAAACCATCAATCAATGGCTTCCAATGCTTATTCTGACCTCGCACAGCTCCCATGGCTCGGATTGCCCCGGCGATCGCTCAACTGGAGAGACCTGTCGGAGGTTTTCCTCGCTCGGACCGGGCGAGGGTGGCCGGTCGCAGGTGCACGCGGGCTATCGAGATGAAGTGTGGCAGCTCTCGGATCACGTCGCTCGGGACGTTTCCGCGAAGAACCGGGGCGTGGGCCGTGACGGAACGAGCGAGGTGGAACATCACCTGGAACGATTGATCACTGCTGGTGGAAGACGAACATCGACTTAAAGCCGAAGATGCACGTCCTTGTAAATCCAACATCATCAAACCATCCCAAACCATCCAGCACCTCTTCATGTGCTTAAGTTCGTGACCGAACTTTCTTCTACAGAGCTCGGTCCATGAAGCCTTCACAAGCTGCTGGCTCATCAAGGAATCAAGTGCCCAAAGATTCCCAAAGGCTCGTTGGACCCTCAGTTCGCTAGGGGTGAAATGACCCTCACTTCGCCAGGGTGAACTGGACCGAACCAACATGTAGCACTTGGCTCACCTCCATGAGCCATGAGCCTCCAAAAGGGCCAAACTGAAGGGCCCAAGACTGGTATCGATGCGGTAGGGAGCTACAAATATGTCCCATTCAACGAGCCAGGAGCTACATGGTCCCTGGAATTTCAGGTTTGACCCGGCCTTTTCCTTGCGAGCCTTTCTATACCTATCCTCACAGGCCATTTCATGAGTTTTTAGTAGGTGACTAGGTTGCTTGCCCCTTTGAAATGTTGTGTGAGCACAGTCCAGGCGATTTGGCCGAAGATCACCGAGAAGTTGTCCAAATGCAGCAGCCCCCATCTCAGCCGAAACCAAATTTCATACAGTGACATTTTCATGACTAACTGACTAACTGCAGTAATTCACTCGTGGGGAGCTGGCAGCCAGCTCTTGTTTTGCCCACTGAGTCCACTTCGCACATGTGTTCTATACCCTTGCACATCCAAGACCAATCGAAAATGCTTGGTTTTGTCTCATGTAAACAATGGTCCTTCGATAAGACCCCGAACGCTGGGCCAGGAATCTCCTGTATACATGGATCTTCCAACACACATGTTCTGCTTGTTCATCCACTCCAAAACGCAGCCAAGTTCGGCAGACATGTGGCAGCAAGTTCGGTCAGAATCGTAGGGCTCGAATGCTTCTTGGGTTTCACCGCAGGGCTATTAGCGGAATGAGGGTTTCACCGTTCTTCGGTTCAGGCGCCATGCGCAGGAACCGGAACCGGATACCGTTCTTCCGTCGCGCTCTCAGGTGTGCGCTGTGTGGGGCATTCCTTGGGGGGCGCCATGTGTGACGTCTTCTCCGGATGCATCAATAGCGGTCGCCTGGAAGATCCTGAGACTTGGCCGACAGAAACCGGCCGGGCGACGGACTGGTCCGGGCCGCAGTAGCATGCTGCTGCAGCTGGGCCGGTATCGAGCTGAGACGGTGTGACCAGGTGGTGAGACCACGGGTGTTTCGGGGTGTTTAGGCAGTTGGTGTTGAGACCAGGTGTTGGCTGGGGTGTTTAGGCAGTTGGTAGGCGCAAGATGGCGCAAGGAAGATCAAAGTCAAACAGGTTTGAGGATGTTTGATCTAAAGAGGTTCAAGAAGTTTAACATGTTTTTAACCTGATGACCAGCGTCCGTGTGATCCATGTCTATGCCGCCACCATTTGGCCCACTTCACTTGGTGGGCATTGCTGCCCATACCAGCTGGAGGCAGTGTGGACCATGTGTGGACGAATTCCATCTACCCTCACTGAAATCATCATGGAAGTGGAGTGAACACATCTGAAAACCACCTGTTTGGTATTTGGATTTCATGATCATTTCTTCGGATTTGCCATACCTTCCGCAGTTCCCATGCATGATTTCAGGGAGTCTATGTGTCCACAGATGCCCCAGATGCCCTTACCGAGGGTCGAGTTGCCTTCCGGGCGGGTGGGCGACGTTGCCGCACTCGGGCCGTATTGAGATGTGCAATTTGGAGCGCCATGCGGGAGCTCCTTTGACCAGCCAACAACCAGCAGAGGTGGGTCAGAACCCTAGTTCGACCATCCTTTAGGTACCCCAGTTGGGTCCTATAAGATCTCTTAATCTCTCTCGGAAGTTGCAGGGGCCGGTGACGATGTTCATTCAAAAGCTGACTAATCACCGTACCTAGCCTGGCGAGTTGTTTTACCTGTTTTCACTCTACTTACTGTACCCAGCACCTTGGGGCGGCCCTTTTCTTGGCAACATGGGTGAAATCCCCGGTGGCATAGGGAAATATGTGTGCATACATGTTGCTTATAGGATGATGTTTGCTTTCTCGAACTGGGTGAATGCCCTGGCATAGGGTATGTCCTTTTTCCCGGCCCAAATCAGCAAATCAGCAGGTCCAGGTATCGATGCAGCTTCCTGGGCGTCTCGCAGGGACGTGCCTTTTTTGGGGACGAAACTCTCCCTGGGCGTCGGACATTGCGATTTGAGTTGTTGTTTTCTTTTTGTAAGGGACTGTTGGAACGATTCGAGTCAGATATATATATATATATATACACTGTACCTGGACCTTCAAGGGGTGTCCAATGGAGGTCCCTTAGTAGTGTAGGGGCTTCCATTGGTGACCCCTTTGAAGGTGCTGGTATACTATATATATGGAGTCTTTGGGTTAGGAGATGGTTTCCTGGTCCACTTTGAGGTTGCAGGTTTCTTGACGTAGGTGCGGGTTCAACAGATTCTTCCAGCTGAGGATTATAAGAAACTGATGTGGTACCAAGGCACCTTGGAAGCATCAGATTCCCTCAGTCTCTCAACGGGTGCGGATTTGACAACTGTTTCGGTGTCGATGTCCAGAATCTGTGGATCTATTCCCTAGAAGTCCAGTTTGACTATTTCTGGCACCACCCAAGAAAAGGACATTCCATTTCAGGTCATCCAAAGTCCAAAGACAATTTTAGAATAGCCTTTGACTTCCAGGGTAAATTGCTGTGTAATTACTGGCAGGTGCCCTCTTTGGATCCCTTTTGGCAGTTTTGGCAGCTGGAGGGATAGAACTTGGGTTTGTCCAGTAAGCCCGTAACTGTCGATATTCAGAACGTTTAGCAGCTTAGCACTAGTTTTAGAGTGAGATGTCGGCCTGCAACCTAGCCTAACCATCATCATCCACTGGTCCCAGGGAATGTACCCAAGATAGAACCATCTAAAACATCCAAACCTGTTCCACAAAGCATGTGCCGCAGTGCAAGAAAGACTGACACAAGGGGACGGTCCAGGGACACTTGCTGGACATATCTTGGTTGTCTTGGTTTTGCGTTGGGCCTTTGATGTTCGACTGGGTAAATCCTTTTCGGAATGTGTGACATTTTCACGTGGTTCCTGGACAGCACATCCAAGTTGTTGATTGTTGGAAGGGGAGTGCTCTTGTTTCTTTATGACTTGCTGGACTTGCTCTCTTCAGCTCTGACGGCTCAGAGGGTTGAAAGCCAACTGAGCTGGAGCGGCGGTTTCCAACCGCGCAACAGGGCCAAGAATGAAGAGCCAGGTGACTGGGCAGTGTTGACCTCGGTCGCTTTGGTAACGGGAGTCCCCTTCTGCAGCAGGCGAGATGTGTTGTTTTCTTAACTGATCAGTGATTTTAACAAGAGAGATATGTAGAGCTCACCATCGCTTCTTCTGAAATGCCGCTGTGGTGATCACTCTTTTTTTTCCTCTCCAGATGGCATACATGATAAATGAATGTAACTTGATTCTTGCTTGTATTGCGTGTAAATGCATGTAAAGGATCTCAGATCTAGAGTTCAATCAGCAGAACAACCGTTGGTTTCTGGTGCTTTGGATTTCCGGGTGGGCGTTTTGTGCAAAACGCCTGTCACACCGGCTGGAGTGTTGCAGAATGTGCGAGAGATGAGAGAGGTCCGTATGGAGGGGTGACCTGATGTATTTTCATCCGTTTTTCCTCGGCCCAAAAAAGGTAGCTATATATATTCATGAAAAACCATCCACTAACGGCGGCGGCCAGCTGTTGGAGGTGTTTGTAGCACCAGGGGTGGAGGTGGCCCTGTGCAGACCTTGGGATGGGTCCACATTGAAGTCCACCTTTCAGGTGAATGTCGTGCTGACGTTGGCCTTGGCATTGGCTGCACTGGCAGATGAGACGGAAGACCTCACCAAGTCGATTCAAGACTTTTGGGACTGCTTAGTAAGTTGATGTTGGATCCTTCTAGTGGAGGTGTATACAGAGGTGGTGGAGGTGTAGTGAGGTATAGCTTCAAACTGGTAACAGTGACATACATGGAGTGTTTGGGTGTTATGGTATTTGAGTGTGTTATCCCCTGTTTCAGTTGCAATGAAGTGGAGTGAATGCACTGTATAGGGAACCTCAGTCCCTGAGGTTTTCGTGTACGGCGAGTCATAAGGGGAAGGACCCAACATCAGGGGAAGGACCCAACATATGGGGAAGGACCCAACATCAGAGCTTGACTGTTTAGTCCAAGCTTTCTCCGGGTCCCTCCCTGCACCCTGCATCGGAATCCGAGAATCCGCAGATTTCCGAAGTCGTTTCTGGGGAAGCACGGTGTTTCCTTCCCGGTTCTTTAAGTTAAGCATGCGGACGGTCTTAAGCAGCTCGGTGCACGGCAGAAGCGGTGCAGTAACTTGAAAGACCTGGGCCCGTGGCTAGTTAAGCAAAACATCGAGCAGTTAAACTAAAAAGGTATCCCGCTCGAGTTCGATGCACAACCCATTAAAAGCAGGCTAGCTGACCCGGTGTTGTAGTCTAAAATCCTCAGGGAAAAAAACATGTTTGAATCAATGTTGGCCAGGAAGCCTAGGTGCTTTTTGTTCATGGTCTCGGCCCTCGGCGATCTCAATGTTTTGCTTCTGGATCAGATGTTTCTTGAGCAGCTCCACCAGTTTCCACATCCAAATCCAATGGCTACAACGGCCACACGCAAGCCTTTTGCCATACGCTCCAAGGAATTGTTTGAGGAAGAAGCTCGCGTGCCCGAGAAGAAAGGAGATGCTTTGGCGCCAGCCGTCCCAGAAGTGCACCACATGTTGCTCAAATCATACCCAGAGATATGCAGGGATTTGGTCTTTGCCCATGGAGGGTGCACTGGACCTTACTGTACCCTACTGTTGTCTCATTCTCATAAAGCCAAAGACCAATAGAATGACGGATCTGATTGACTTCTTGAGGGTTGACATGGTGAGTGGAAGACATGGTGTTTGTTTTGCTTTTAACCTGAGGTGCAGATGAGCGGCTCCACAGATACAAGTCTGGACGTCCTAATGGCCAGAACTGATCCAAATGACCAAATGATGTGATATAGCATGAAACAATGATGTATTATTACATATTATTATTCATTATTGTCCAAAGACCTACCATTTTTGCATGCTGCATGCATGTCTATTTTTGCGGCAATGACATATCCTACCATATGTACATATATCTATAGTGTCCATGGGCCCACCCAGCCCTATAACTGTCGATATCTGTCGATGTTCGGTCAAGACCCTGTTTTATTTCTCACCATCACGGCTGCGCTACTATATAGGTTGGATGTGTAAGTCACTCTTGCCAGCACCCGACTTCACAAGTCACCACCTGCCGCTTTTAAGTCAGTTGCTGGGAAAGGGTCCGCCGCTGGCGGTCGACCATGCCATGGCCGTGCCAAGGTTAGTCGATCCTTTTGATGACTCGGATCTGGGGCAGGATGCCAAGGTCTCAAGACCCCCGGCAAGCCCTCAAGCCCCCCAGCTGCAAGCAGAGTCATCCTTGCCGATGGCCTAGCCATGTCTAGCCTTTTTCCATGGTGGTCCGGTGGTTCGCTTGAGGATCGTTGCGAAGGTCAACGGAGAATGAAGAAAGAGTGAGACCTTTTGCAGGTGCTATAGAACCAGTTGACAAAGAACACTGGACTCTGGACATGGATAATGATCATGCACTTCCATCCAGCAGAGGCCATCCGAAGATTTTTTTCCAGGGGTGGGGTCCCCACATGTTTTCTCAGCGCTGAAAAGTTGCTTGATACTGCAGAACTGGACCCGCAGAACTGCAGAACCCAGGACCCGCTGGAAAATCCATTTTCAGAGCTGGCCAGTGTAAAGACACCAGCCGCTGGTTCCCCTGCGAGCCCATCAAGCAGATGGTTCCCAGATCCTTGGAATTGGGAGGTTTGGAGGACAATCCTGGGATTGGAACCTTGTGCAATTACTGTAATTAGAATTTCTTGGAATGAGTATTGGAAATTAAGTTATGTTAAGTTGTGTTTTTTTCATGCTTCTATAGTTGGTTCTTTTCATTTTATGTTTATGTATTGTACTATTCCTGGGCCACCACTCATTGTAGTGTTATGTGCCGAAGAACCGTTGTATGGTCGGGGGGCCTGGACAAGCCCTCACAACCGGTAATTTCGACTCCAAAGCTTGAGGGCGCACCGTTTTGTTTCAGGCGCGACCAGGCGGTCGGGAGAGGAAGGCGGCCTGGATCTTAAGATGGCTACTTACATCAGCGTGTGGTTAGTATCTAGATAGTGTGGTTATTG